TCCCACCCGCTTCCACCGGGTACACGGTGCCAACATCCGCGTGGACCCCTCCGGGACGCGGGCCACACGCGTGGAGAGCTTCGCTCACGGCGTGTGCTTCAGCCGCGAGCCGCTGACCCCGGGCTAGATATTTCTGGTCGAGATCGAGGAGAAAGAGCTGGGCTGGTGCGGCCACCTGCGCCTCGGCCTGACGGCACTAGACCCCGCCAGTCTGGCGCCCGTGCCTGAGTTTTCGCTGCCGGACTTGGTCAGCCTCGGCCACACCTGGGTCTTCGCCATCACGCGCCATCACAACCGCGTGCCCCGGGAGGGCCGCCCGGCTGCAGAGGCAGCGGTCCCCAGCCGCCCCCCAGCCCTCCTGGTGGAACCGTATCTGTGCATTGAGCAGTTTCGCATTCCCCGCGACCGCTTGGTGGGCCGCAGTCGGCCCGGACTCTACAGCCACCTCTTGGACCAGCTCTATGAGCTGAACGTGCTGCCTCCGACGGCGCGCCGTAGCCGCCTGGGCGTTCTCTTCTGCCCACGCCCCGACGGCACCGCCGACATGCACATCGTCATCAACGGCGAGGACATGGGCCCCAGCGCCCGGGGGCTGCCAGCTGCCCAGCCCCTCTACGCAGTGGTGGACGTGTTTGCCTCCACTAAGAGCGTGCGCCTGGTCCAGCTTGAGTACGGCTGTAGGTATCCCACCTCCTAGATAGCGACCCCTCCGGGCCCAGTGTGTGGACCTGAACTTGCTAGGCTTCCGAGCCAGCTAGCAAGGCCTTGGTCTGTCCAGCATTAATTTAGAAGGTGGGGAATCTGACCCCACATTATGCCACTGCTTGTGATCTTGGATACGTCATTCCCTAGCTCTGGACCTCAGTACCGTCCTGGCTGTGAATGATTAGGATGCCTTCCAAGTTCTCTTCTGGCTTTGACAGTATTTTCTGTATTAATCCGAACTGATTTTAGATTCTGGGCCTCTGAGACCTGTGTGCTCTTTTAATAAACAAATGTTCCTAGATTTGGGCATACCAGTTTAAAGGCATCACAGACCCCAGATTGAGAGCTTCTTAATCCTGAGGTTCGGTTCATTCTAGCCCCCGTAAGCCCTTTATTTGGACCTCTGATCACATTTTATGTATTCAGTGAACCAGAGCCTACTCTGAGCCAGGCCTGTGCTGGAGGCTGGAGTTGCACAGCTAAATCAGACACTACCCCTGCCCCCAGAAGCTGCTACGTGGGGAGCGAGGGGGGGAAGGGAGGGTACTGAGTGTTACATTAGAAGTTAGGCTGTAGCATTGTAAAGTATTGCAAAAGAAGTGCTTATCTCAGACACAGGTGCAGCCCCATGAGTCACGGGGATCTAGAGAGTAGAAGGGAATTGCTCAACTTAACGACAAAGGGGGGACCAAGACCTAGATCTTTTGGGATCAGACTTAGACCTACCGTCCTGTTCAGGTTGCCTTTGACCGTCCTCTTTCCACAGTGCCATCCCTGCAGACCCTGTGCCGCCTAGTGATCCAGAGGAGCGTGGTGCACCGTTTGGCCATTGATGGGCTCCACCTGCCCAAAGGGCTGAAGGATTTCTGCAAGTATGAGTGAAGGCCTGCAGCCACCCTGCAGCAGTGTCCAGGGTCGTGTCCTGGCCTCAGAGCTATGGCTGGTCTGAGATGGCCATACTGCTGTCCGCCAGAACCAGAAATAAACAGAGCCAATGCTGATCATTAGAGGGTCTCCTTACCCCTGAAGCCTGTGAGGAGAACTTCTTTTAGAATGACTGTGGGTTGGTTAGCAGGTCAGAGCAAGAGAGAGCATGTTATTTTTAGTTTTAAAAATTCGTTCATTGATTTTTCAGAGAGGAAGGGGGAAAGAGAAACATCGATTTGTTGTTGTTCCACCTATTCGTTTACCCACTGGTTGATTCCTGTATGTGCCCCAACTAGGGACTGAACCCACAACCTTGGTGTATGACAGTGATGGCGAACCTATGACACGCGTGTCAGAGGTGACACGCGAACTCATTTTTTTGGCTGATTTTTCTTTGTTAAATGGCATTTAAATATATAAAATAAATATAAAAAATACAAAAGGTTCGCCATCACTGGTGTCTGAGGATGACTTGGTGTATGGGGGTGACTTGATGTATGGGGGTGACTTGGTGTATGGGGGTGACTTGGTGTATGGGGGTGACTTGATGTATAGGGGTGACTTGGTGTATCAGGGATGATTCTCTAACCAACTGAGCTACCTGAACAGGGGAAGAGAAAGCATTTTATTTTAAAAATTCATTTTAGAGAGAGACACTTCAATTGGTTGCCTCCCACATGCACCCTGACCAAGGATTGAACCTGCAACCCAAGTATGTACCCTGATTGGGAATCAAACCCGCCACCTTTTGATGTACAGGATGACGCTCCAACCAACTGAGACACATTGGCTAGGGCAAGCGAGAGCATTTTAGACATCATCTAGACCAGCAGTTCCTAGCCTGGCTACTCATCAGTTTATAGACTCCATCTCCAGAAATTCTTAGATTTGTTGGAAGTTTGGGCCTAGACATTGTTTTTGTAAAAGCTCCCCCGAGATTCTAATATACAGCCAGAGTGGAGAAGAACAGAGGTCTCAACTTTGGCACACATTATAGCCACTTGAGGAACTTTGAAAAATACTGATAACTGGGTCTGAGCCCTAGAATTCTGCTTTAATTAGTCTGGGATGAGGCTGGGCATCAGGATTTCTAAAAGCTCCCAAGGGAAACTAATGTGCAACCTGGTGTGAAAACCAGTGCCCTAGACCAGTGGTCGGCAAACTGCGGCTCGCGAGCCACATGCGACTCTTCGGCCCCTTGAGTGTGGCTCTTCCACAAAATACCGACTTCTGAGCATGGGCCACGAGAACATTTGCCATGGTAATTATGATGTGTCTTGGTGTGGGTCTTTTCAGGTTCACCTTGTTTGGGACTCTCTGGGCTTGTGTGACTTCTTTCTTCCCCACCTCAGGGAAGTTTTCTGATATTATTTCTTCGAATAGGTTTTCTAATCCTTGTTCATCTTTCTGTTGTTCTGGTACCCCTATTATTCGTATGTTGTTTCGTTTAATGTTGTCCCAAAGCTCCCTTAGGCTCTCCTCCTGTCCTTTAATTTTTTTCTCCAATTGCAGTACATTTTGGGTGTGTTTTGCTTCCTTGTCTTCTAATCGCTCTATCCACTGAGCCAAACCGGTTTCGGCGAGAGCCAAATATTTTAAACTTAAACTATATAGGTAGGTAGATTGTTATTAACTTAATTAGGGTACTCCTAAGGATTAGGAAGAGCCACACTCAAGGGACCAAAGAGCCACATGTGGCTCGCGAGCCGCAGTTTGCCAACCAAGGCCCTAGACCAACTACTTCATTTTGTTGATGGGAAACTGAAGCCCAGAGGTCATACAGGAAATGAATCGTTGCAGAGAATCCCTTCTCTCACACTACAGCCACTAGACTCCATTATTTGTATCCCTGGTCATTTGATTCCATACAAATGGTCTCATTTAGTTCTCACAACTTCTGGTGAGGTAGCGGGCAATCATTACCCCCACTTTACCGATGAGGATATCAAGGAGCAAAACTGTCCAGGAGACTCGCCCAAGGTAAAGGCAAGAACCTAGAATGCCCAGATCCTGGTTTAGTGCTCCTTTAACCCCATCCCATTGTCTTACAGAGGTTCTAGAATGAACAGGTCAATGTTATGAGGTAGATTCCAGGTACAGAAGGGAGGGACTATGAGGTGACATTCTAGAAGGGTGGGGAGGGGAGGGGAGAGGGCAGAGGACTATTTCCTCACAAACAGGCGCTTTGGGGTAGCCATGTCCTATTTCATGTCTCCACAAACTCATCTAGGTCTTCTGCCTTCCGGCCAAGGTGAGAGAGGGGCTCTTAGAACTGGAATGGGTGTAACTTCCCCTAAGAACTTGCTTCCTGGCTCTGGGGAGGTGGTGGTTTCTGCTAAGCATTTTAGAGCTGGCCCCCAAGTCAGTTCCTTTCAAAGAAAATCCATTCCCAAAGTGCTTGCCAATAGCTACCCACTTGCTCGCTCACTCATTCAACAAACACTTCTCCATCACTTAGAGCTGGGCACGGGGTGTGGATGTTAGTATAACCTAGTTCCCAACCACTAGACAACCCTCTTCGCTGACCTTAATTGCTCCTGTTCCCAGTGCTCTGCTCCTCTGCCCTGCCCCTCAGGGCCTCCTTCCCAAAGAGACCAAGAATAATAGTCCATCTCATTCCTGTCTCTGCAGGTGAGACTGCTTCTAGAGGCTCATCTCTTGGCCCCTATAGTCCTGTAGAGCCAGTGGTGGTGGCCTCTGGTGGACGAGGCCAACTGAACCAGAAAACTGAGCAGGTGGTACCTGCTGTCCAGGCCTGGGGCCCAACTCTGGCAGTGCCGGAAGCCAGGGGCTGCCCTGGGGGGCCTAGCTGGGAGACACTGCGGCAGAAGGAGTACGGCCGATACTGCCACAAGTTCCCCCATGTGAAGCAGCCTGAGAGCTTGGGCTGGGCGGATGGCTGCTCCAGAAGCAGAGCTCCCCACCTGGGTGGCTCCAGCAGGCCTGGGCCCCTACTACTGTGCGGGCTATCACCAAGAGTTGTGCCGAAGCCCTCTGAGGCAGGGGGAAAGGAGGCCGGCTCCCAGCCTGACATCTGCATACTTACCCTGGCCATGATGATTGCTGGCATCCCCACCGTGCCAGTCCCAGGCCTGCGGGAAGAGGACCTAATCCGGGCGGCTCAAGCTTTCATGATGGCCCATCCAGAGCCAGAGGGGGCTGTGGAGGGGGTGCAGTGGGGGCAGGTGCATGCCCGCACAGCCTCTGGGCACATGCCCCTAGTGAGATCCAGGAGGGGCCAGCCTCCTGGTTCCTGCTTGTAGCTGATGAAATAGCATCAGACACAGAGGGTGGCTTCTCCGTATGATTTTTGGGCAGATAGGATTGGGGGTGCCTCTGGCAGGGATGGGGATAGGGTGGGTGATGGACCCACTCTGATGAATACCAGACCTCAGGAAGTTTCTCTAGAAACCACCAAGCCAGGAGACAGGTCTTGTCAGAGTAATTATAATGAAAATTACCTGAGGTAGGGACCCTGCTTGGAGAGTGGAGGTTTCTTCTGTATTGTTTTGGGACTTGATCAAAACTTCTTGTACAAAGTCATAGGCAATGTGCATTTCCTCTTGCCTTACATTTCCCAGCCTGTTGAGGGCAGGTGATGAGACCACAGGCAAGGAAGGAAAATTAATACTTATTTGAGCACCCACTGGGCACCAGGCCCATTATATGCCCACTCCTTTAATCTTAACAGTGCTGTGAGGATCTTCATTTTTATAGACGAACAAATTGGGGCTTAGACAGATGACTTGCCTGAGGTCCCATAGCTAGTAAAAGGAAGACCAGGTCTCGAAAATCAGGCAAGTAAGGAACCAGGATTTGCATGTAGCATTGGCCTCCAAAATCTCTATTCTTTCCATGACATTTCCTAACGTGCCTTCCGCAAGATAAAAAACTAGACGAGAGCTAAAGTAGGCAACATTCAACTTTAATGACCTCAGGAGGGGGCCGGGGTAGTAAAACGAGTGGGAACCTGGCTGCACCAGCTCCTCTGGGGGGCCTCTTCCTCTGGGAGTCAGGAGAGTCATCTCGTGACTGGGGTCACTTATCCCAGACCTTGATCTTTACCCGCTACCTCTTATCTCAGAGCAGGGGTCACCTGTTTTGTAAGGCCCTTGAGCTAAGAATAGCTTTTACCTTTTCAAAAGGTTATAAAAAACAAACAAAACCAAAACCAAGTACCATAGACTGTATATGGCCAGCAAAGCCTAAAATATTTACTGTCGGGCCCTTTGCAGAAAAGTTTTGCTGATTCCCATCTTAGGAAACTAGACATATTGTAGGTAGCAGGAGGCAATAGAAGACCTCTGTTTTGTCCTGGAGGGAGGGTCCAGGGAAGTACAACAGCGAGTGTGTGTGTAGGGGAGGATGTGTGTACCTGTGTGTGAGCATCTCTCAGCACAGGGTAATCACAGCTGGACCTGCTCGTAAGGGCCGATCCAGATGTCGGCCAGTCTCCGCAGGGTGCTGTACCGCAGTTCAAACTCCTCCTGGCTGCAGTGTTGTAAGAGCTGACCCACCTGCTCAGTGAGGAGAGCCACAGCCAAGCGCTTATCCAGGGTCTCACTCCACTTGCTGCCCAGGATGTCATCCAGACTAGCAGCACAGTCTGCTGTCCACTGAGGTGGCAGCATATTAGGCTGGAGCACCTGTTGCCGGGCTCTGAGCATGGCCAGGATGTGGCGGCAGGGCAGGTGGAAGGCCTGGTTAAAGTAGCAGTTGCAGCTGGCAGGGGGCTGGGGCTGCACTCTATGGGTGTCTTCCAGGATTTGTACATTCACTTTTTCAGAGCCAGAGCCAATGAGCTGCATAGATTTCTGGACCACGGCAAGCTCACCCAGGCAGAGCTGGGCTGCTGGCTCTGTGCAGATGGTGTGGAGGGAGTGCTGGATACAGGCTTCTACCAACTGTTCCACTTTGGGGCTCTGGGGGCTGACGTCCGAGGAGGCACAATTGCTCTGGGGACTCAGGCCCAGGCTGAGGACTGCCTTGTCCCCAGAGTTCTGCTGCATGAATAGGAGCAAGGAGGTTATGCCTTGTTCCACAGATGGGGTGGTGCCAAAGAACTGGCTGAGGATGCGGGTGGTGACCTCCAGGCCCTGGAAGTAGTGGCTGCTCTCCGCTGGGCTTCTCCGACGGTGGGCCAGCCAGATGCGGTCATTGAGCAGCCAGTATAAGTGTAGCTTGGTCAGCTGGTCTGGGGGGATGCAGTTGCTCAGGAGTGCATATAACTTCCTCAGGTTGCCAGCAGTGGCTGAGCACATTGTGCTCTGCAGGGAGGTCAGGAGCACCTGCTTCACAGGCTGTTCGAGGGAAAGCTGATAGAACTTGCCCTGGAGGAACTTACAGATATGGAAGGCTGAGGGCAGGACCTCAGCTGTGGGGAACTCCATAGCTAGGATGGGCAGAGGGAAGAAGTAGGGATCTACCAGGATAGTACAGACTTTCTCCCAGGCTGGGTTAAACATCTTGAATACCTGGAACATCTGGGTCAGGCCTTCAGCATCCTCCTTGGCAGGAATGGCAAAGTAAACTGTCCGGGCAAGATGACCCTCCAGCTGCACCTGAGGGCCATCCACCAGGAAGGTATATAACACTTTGCCCGTTGGGTTATAGGTCCGGTGGATAAATAAGGTATCAGGGAAATGGGCAAAGATGTCCTGCATAAAGTTGCTCTGATAGTTGAGGGTATCTAACTTGGCAGGCTTGCTAACCTGGTACAGCAGCATAGATGGGCTTGGGTCCTCAAGGAGGAGCTCATTCAGCATTTTCAGGGCCATGGGGGAGATGGGAAATGTCTAGATGCCAAGGTCAAAATACTTCTCTGCGAGGCTGCTGTACAGGAGGCTCTCAGTCTCTCAAGCTCCAACTAAGTTGAGGCTTGAGGCTGGACGTATTTCCCAGATCTTGTTCCAAAGAGGGGCCTATGGAGAGGAACACAGGTTTAAGGAGATAGTGGAGGCATGGCTCTTCAATTATCCAGACAATACTTATTGAGTGTTTACTGTGTATTAGCACTGTTCTGGGGGAGGTAATACAATAAACATGTAAACAAATAAACGAGGACATATCAGATAATGAAGGTTACAAAGACCACAATTCTGGGTAACAGAGAATAAACTGGGGGTGGAGGGAAACTTTAGCTAAGGTGGTCAGGGAAGTCCTTTCTGGGGGAAGGGAGGATGATATTGGAGCTGAGACCTAAATGATAAGCTAGCCATTTGGTTCCCTAAAATCTAAATGAGTGCTGCATATAGTCTGTTTTTTAAAATAGCATTTTAAATATTTGTACAGCACTCGATATTTACAAGTTACCTTTTGGCATCCATTCTTTCACGTGGTCCTGGTGTATACAAGAGAAACGCAATTGCCCCAAATTTGCTGTGTGATCTTGGGCAAGTCAGTGACACCTTCTGAGCCTCCATCTCTTCAGCCTTAAAACAGGGCTAACAAATATGCCGCTATGTAAACACCGACATGAAGAGCAAAGTTCTAGTCAAATGTTTCCACTAGCTGACCCAAAAGCAGGTTACTGTCCCCATTTTACAGATGAGAAACTGAGGCTCAGAGAGGTTAAATGACTTGCCCAACATTATTCCGTAAGTAGTTGGACGCTGAGTCGCTGGCTTGGGACCCTGACTGCTTTCCAAAGTACCTGAGCTCCATAAACCAGGGACAGAGCAAGGACGCGGCCTCTGACCTCTCACCTCCAGCCCGATGGGAGGATGTGGATGTCAGGCTCTTCCACACGGAGTCCGGCCGGAGCCAGAAGAGACGTCAACCTCCCGCCCCCTTGGGAGCCGCGTCCAGGCCGACCGTGAACAGTTGCCTTACATCTCCACCCCTTCCGAAACCACTCACCCACAGGCTGGCTCAGCCGCCATTTCTCCCTATTTGACCCTGTCTCTGGCTCTGACTGACCTCTAGACTCACCAACCGCGGCGCCAGTTTCCTGTGACTCGGGCCAATGGCCGGAGGAGCTCACGTTAGGTCTTTCGAGCTCGGACCAATCGTAGCCCGGCAACTTGTGGGCGGTGCTGTTGCCAGGGTTACGAGGGGGCTCGGCTGGCGGCAACCAATAAGAGCCCGAGAATATTTGCTTCCAGGAGAGTCTGAGACCTGAACCTGGAACTCTGGAACCTTCTGTGTGTGGAACCGACTAGAAGGCCGTGTTACTATGGAAACGCCCTCAGCGGCCGAAAATGAAGTGGAAAATAAATAGTTGTGTTTCAAGAATTTTCTTCTTGTCTAGTCAAATTCCAAAGGCCCCGTGTGTATGTGGGGGGGGAGGGGGGGCGGTAGGAAAGGGTGCCTGGGTAGCTGTACTGAGTCTTCTGCCGTGGGGAAACTGAGGCCCAGGTTTCAAGTTCCGCCTCTAGGTGGGGGGTTAGGAGCCCAGCCCTTGGGTTTGAGAAAACCCAGATCTCCTTGAGAGAGCTTGGTGTTGCCCAGCCAACCCCTCCCCGTGTTTTACAGAGAGAGATCCGAAATGCAGCTGTGACTTGTTACGGTCATGGTGAACCAGTGCAAGAACCAAGACGACTGCCACCTCTGACCTCAGTTCCCCTGAAGATGGTTGGCTCTAGGTGATTAAGATTACAAGCTAGCACCAACAGTGTTGATGCTTGTAACTGTGGCGAAATGTTCCGTTTATATAAATCTAGAGGGGAAACTAGGCCAACACTGATTTTTGCAGGCGAGGAAACCCGGGTCAAAGAAACTAGGGACTTTCCTACAGGCTCCTTGCAAGCTGCGGACAATTGATTAGATTCCGGTTTCACCCGGCCCGCGTGGCTCAGTGGATAGAGCGCCGGCCTGCGGACTCAAGAGTCCCAGGTTCGATTCCGGTCAAGGGCATGTATCTTGGTTGCAGGCACATACCCAGTGGGGAGTGTGCAGGAGCCAGCTGATCGATGTTTCTCTCTACCTTCCTCTCTGTGAAAAATCAATAAAATGTATTTTTTTAAAAAAAGATTCCGGTTTCGCCCGTGGCTCAGTGGTTGAGCGTGGACCTATGAACCACGAGATCACGGTTCCATTACTGGTCAGGGCTCATGCCCATTTTGCAGGCTCTATCCCCAGTGTGGGGTGTACAGGAGGCAGCTGATCAATAATTCTCTCTCATAACTGATGCGTCTCTCTCTCTCTCCCTCTCTGAAATCAATAAAAATATATTAAAAAATAAAATACATAAAAAGATTCCGGTTTCCTCCCTCCCTATTTGGCCTCATCCTGTTGGAATATGAAGCAGCCTGAAATCAATGTTGAAGGGTTTGGTTGGTAGGAAGGGGATGAAGTGGTGGATTAAGTCTTTGAATTTGGGGTATCAAGTTGTTTTGCTTCACAACCCCCACTTGATTCCGTCCCTATTCAAGCAGCACACGTTTCCCTTGATTTTATTTAAAAAAACAAAAACCTTTAATATGAATAAAAATAGACACACATAACAGATTCTTTGTAAAGAGCAGCAATAATCAAGGATCACCCTCCTTCCCTTGTCCCTGAAAACAAGCCCTTTTACCCGGTCTATTTCATCTCACCCTATCCTGGGTCATGAGGTTCATCTCTGTAAAGTGAATAAGATCTGTTCTCAGGGATTGGGGGAGACAGAGGGATGACCTTTCAACATGGAGACAACTTTGGCCTTAAACAATGAATGGGGCTCCCAAAACATGCCAAAGGTAGGGCAAAAAAGGGGGAGATTCAAAGGACTGTCACACAGTGGGATCCTCTTCTCTCTACTGTAACAATCCTCCCAGCCCTACCAGGGAAGGCATTGGTTAAAATGCTGACCCCTCGCATGACCTGCCCACTGTGAGCTCTCAGGCTCCCAAGGAGAGGGGTCTGTGGTTCAATGCGCCACAGCAAGTGCTTTAATCATGAATCGTGGCTCCAGCAAGAGGGAATCCCTCCCCTTCCTCCTGTTTTCCCCAGAGAAAAGGGAGATGGCCCACATCCTTGAAGTCCCCTGGCTGCTGGGTGGGCGCAGGTTGCTGGTAAGGATCAGCCCAGATGTCCACAATCTTGTGCAAGGTGGAAAAGCGCTCCTCCAGCTCTGGCCCCTCACTCTGCATTAGCAGGTTTGCTAGTTCCCTGCTTAGGTCCTGGATCATGTCCTTCCTTCCTGGCTTCCCAGGCTGGCCTGTGTTGGGGACCACAACAGGGTCCCGGAGCTCCCCACTAGGCCCAAGGAGGTGCTGGTACCTCTTTTGCCATCGGCGGCAAACCATGGTTTCACCCACTGGCTTCTGGCTGTTGTGTAGCAGGGCCAAAATGTGTCGGCATGGCAGGTGGTACCGTTGTTGAAAGGAACAGCTGCAGCTACAGCCATCTTTGCTAACCTGGTGAGAGTCCTCCAGCAGCTTAATGTCCACTGAGGAGCCAGCCATATCCATCAGGTGGGTCGAGTTCTGTGCCACCTCCCATTCATTGTAGCACAGCTTATAGGCCAGTTCGAAGCCACTCTGGTGCAAGGTGTCTAGCATGCCACCCTGGAAGGGCTGCACCTGTGGCTGCTGCTCCACCTGCACCTGCTGTAGGGGTGGCTTTGTCTCTTTCAGGGGGCGCCTGCTGAGGCTCCCTCCACAGATTTCAAAAGGCTTCTTGGACTTTGGTAACATGCTTGCTGGCCGGGCTTTCTTTGACTTGGGAGGAGCTGTGGGCAAGTTTTTCACACCTTTGGTATTAAAGAAGTCGATGTAATCCACAAAGCGGAGGATGCAGTCCAGCAGGGACTGCTGTTTCCTAAAGAGACTGGACACCTTGCTGGCGACGATGTCTAGGCTGTCCATGTAGGTGTTACACGCATGCAGGCCCTTCCTGACGTGCATGTACCACAGCAGTTCACAGGAGAACCAGTGGGTCTGCAGGAAGCTGAAGAGCTCCTCATCCAGTAGGGCTTGGGACATCTGACAGAGATTCTGCAGGCTGGCATCAGAGGTGACAAACACAGCCTCCCGTAGGGCTTCCTTCATGAGACTTTTAAAGGACAGATTTGCCGAACTACGATGCAACTTCTTCTCTAGGAGTCGGGTTGTGTGGTAGATGGAAAGGAGAATGCGGGCAGCAGGGAAGATTTCCTGCAGGATGGCTCGGTGAGGGAAGGATGGGTCCACAAAGATGACCTTGGTCTTGGGCCAATCTGAGTTGAACTCTGTGAAGATACCCAGCATCTTGGCCACAGACGTGGCTGTCTCGGCCCTGAGCACAGCAAAGTGTACCACTCGACTCTCTCGCTCCTTGTTCTCCACCAAGAACGCGTAGAGGATGTGGCCCTGGGCATTCTCCACCCGGTGCAGCAAGAGATTCTCTGGGAAGCGGATGAACAGGTTGCTCATCTTGCTGCTCTGAAAGCTAAGCCGGTCCAGGTCTTGGCTGTTGCCTACACTGAGGGAGGCCATGGAACCCTCATCCACCTTAAGAAAGTTCTTCATCACTTTCGCTATCTTGGCCAGGTCAGAAGGAGAGATCCCCTCCCGCCCTGGCTTTGAGGCTGCTTGGACCTCACCTAAGCAAAATGAAGGTTCAGTCGGGGGCGTCTCAGCCCTGGTAAAGTCTTCTTTAAATGTGGGCTGCTCAGGCTCACATTTCTGCAGATACGTCGTCTTTTGAGATTCAGCAGTGTCTCCTTCAGGATCCGCAGTTTTGGAGTCAACATGTATATGCTGGGTGTTGAGTTCACTGATAAATAATCTATCCAGTTTCTCATTGTACTGCAAGAGCAAGTATGCTGGGCACATGTCCGCCTCTGGTGTTCTCTTCCTGTTTGACTGGATCCGACTACAGACAAATTTCACCTGCACATATCTGGGGAAAGTAGAAGGGACAATGAGAAAGGTGCTGACCACTCTCTTTCTTTTACAAGACAAGGCCCTCTTGGACTTGGACTTACAGTGGCTGATATATTTTCTGGAGACCACAGTGCAGTGTGGGATGTAGGGAAGGAAGATTTATGTTTACTCTCCAATCCCAGAGTATGCAGCTCTTTCTTCAAGACCCTATCTAGCTAAAACTCCCTTCATTTTCATCTACTGCAGTTCTAAGCCCCAACTCCTTTCATTCACTCTGTTGACCATCTGTAGCTGCCGACAATTCAATCTGAGCAAGATACAAAGGAAAACAGATAAGAGGCAATAGCAGAGTACCTAGCTGGTTACTGTTTAAAATGTTCCCTTCTGCCCAGCCAGTGTTGCTCAGTGGTTGAGCATCAACATATGAACTGGGAGATCAGGGTTTGATTCCTGGTCAGGGCACATGCCCAGGTTGCGGGCTCAATCCACAGTAGGGGTCTTGCAGGAGGTAGCCCATCAATGATTCCCTCTCATCATTGATGTTTCTCTCTCTCCTTCTCCCTTTCTTTCGCTGAAATCAATCAATCAATAATCTATACATATAAAAGCCAAGCGACCTGAACTCCAGAATGACTGGAACAACTGGTCCCTATGATGTGCACTGCGGCTGGCCAAGCGGCCCAATAGGGGAGCAGCCCCTCCCCCCAGCCGCCCAGCCTCCAATCCCCCCCCCCCCACCCCAGATTGGGGGGGGGGCCAGCTGGCCAACCGCCAGCAGCCCCTTCCCCCCAGCCCTGCCCAGTGGGCCCCCATGGGAGGGGGTCAGCCTGACCCCACCCATGCATGAATTCTTGCACTGGGCCTCTAGTACTGTATAAAGATCTAAACTTAAAAAAAAAAATTTCCCCTTCATTCCTACCTTTTGGGAGCCACTGCCTACTCCAAACAGCAAAGATAAAAATGACCCTGTCCTGGCTGGTGGTTCAGTTGATTTGAGCATCATCCAGTACACCAAAAGGTTGGGGGTCCAATTTCTGGTCAGGGCACATAACTAGGTTTTGGGTTCTATCCCTGGTCAAGACTCACACAGGAAGGCAAGCACTTGATGTTTCTCTCCCCTCCACCCTAACCCTCTCCCTAAAATCAGTGAAAGCCCAGGCCCATGTGGACCAGTTGCTTGAGTGATGTCCCGTACACCAAGAGGTCACTGGTTAGACTCCAGGTCAGGGCACATGCCCAGGTTGCAGGATCGATCCTCAGTAGGGGGAGTGCAGGAGGCAGCTGACTGATGTTTCTCTCTCTAAAATCAATAAAAACATATTTAAAAATAAATAAAATAAATAAAAATATTTTTTAAAATAAAAATAAATTAAAAAGCATAGCCTCAGGTGAGGATTAATAAGTAAAAATAAAAAAGTGGCCCTTGGGAGTCAGGAGTAAGGTTAAGTCTGGGCCTCTTCTCTAAGACAGAGATGTCTGTTCACCTTTCATTTAAAGGAAAATGTCCACATCCTAAGAGATTTTGAGAACCCCTGGGCTAGATCATCTTAAGGGTTCCTGCTGGTTTTCCCATTCGAGGAGGAAAGTGATGATTCAAAGGAGAAGGGTAACTAAATTGATTATCTGCTCTTTCTTCCTATCACCTTTCAACCCATGCTTCAAGGCCCAAATCAAGTCCCACCTTCTCCAAGGAGCCTTTGTGGATGCCCTCAAACCATGGTAATTGCTCCTTTCTCTGTATTTATAGCATTTATTTAAAATAAAAGGCTTAGCAGCTTCTCTGGATAGCAGTATACCTAGTGGTTAAGCCAGGGGTGGGCAAACTTTTTGACTCGAGGGCCACAACGGGTTCTTAAACTGGACCGGAGGGCCGGAACAAAAGCATGGATGGAGTGTTTGTGTGAACTAATATAAATTCAAAGTAAACATCATTACATAAAAGGGTACGGTCTTTTTTTTTTTTTTTAGTTTTATTCATTTCAAATGGGCCGTAGTTT